GACATCATGAGGACGAGTTCCGTTTCAAGCACTTGCATGGCAAACACCGTCCCGACCACGATCACCATCGCGAGGCCGCCGTAGCCGATGTCAATGCACGGGTTCCCGAGCGTGTCCATGGCGGACGGGATCATGTGGATGAATGCCGTCGCAATCACGACCCCAAACCCAAACGAGTTGAGCATGGCGATCGCGGCGCGGCTGTTGCGCAGGCACGACACGTACGAGCTCACGACGGGGAGCAAACTGCCCAAGATGGACAGTGCGAACACGATGAAGACGGCGGCGATGTGCAATGTTTGGTCGTAGTCTTCCTTGTCTTCAATAATGCCGCATTCCATGTGGTCATCATGGTCACCATGATGGCCATGGTCGCCGTGGCCGTGAGCGGTGGCCCCCAGGACCAGCAACGTCGTGGCAATTAGCGCTTTCGATCGGTCCATGATCTGGACAAAGGACGAATGTAAAAGTGACCAAAGATCGCGGAGGTGGTCTGGGCGGCAGCAGATAATGGGTGACCACCTGCTGGTGGGTCCACGAATAGGCTCGACGAGTACCGGGAGGAACAGAAGGCGGCGGGAGGGGCGCCGCTGTGGTGGGTATGCAGCGTGGTATGCAACGGGTGGCCTGCGGCGGATGGAGGGGGTTCGTATTTCTGGGTGCGCACTCTGGTCGCGCCTTCCCTCCTGTCTATACCGTGCACGTCGCAGTTGCGCTGCGCGCGCTCGAATCGTGTCCGCGTCGCGGAGATATGCCAACGCGAACGCAAAGTGCCGTCGACGTCAAACCCAACGTCGCCACGTCCATGCCGCCGTCGGATGTCCCCGTCGGCTCGGCATCGCTGCCGTCGGCGACAGGGATCGGGCACTTCGTTGTTGATCCACCACAATCCGTCGACGTGTCGACTCGCGCGCCTGTCTCCGACGTGCCTGCCACGGGGCGCCGCGAGCTTGTGCCCTGCCGTTGTGTGTCGGGCTGTATGCATGCACCTGTTGGGTTGCCACGGATCCGAGGTCGCTTATGAACGTGCTGCACAAGGCTTTCGTCCCAGCGCACCGGTTCATGTCCCTCCGCCTTCGCCACGGCTCTGCGGCGTGGTGTCCAGCTCGGCTGCCGTGGCGCCAGCACCGTAGGGGAGAGTTGTGGCTGCGGGTTGTGACAGTTTGGTTCACTTCCCACGATCGTCGTGTCGGGGTCCATCTTGTCCAAATGCATTCGGATTGGATAAAATTCATCGACTTTGACGTCGATAGCGTGCAAAAATCTTCTTTTTAGCCAATCCCCACACATTATCGCCTTTTTTAATGCCGCCGAACGATTTAAATCCAATTCGTGGACGATCCGTGGGAAATGCGTGACGAGCTGCTCGTCCAACAGCAAACGTGACGGTCCAAAAATGATATCGCCGTTCGCAAGCGGGTGCCATCGCGCATGGATGCTCTGCGACGTGGGCGAAGCCCCACGCGAGATCCTTCGCGCCATTCGTTGCATCGGTACAAACTGTGTAGTTGTGGTTTTTGCATTCGCACCCGAGATAGCCCGACGAATCCTTTCCATCGGCGCAGCGGGACACAACACCGCCCCGTGACACGGTGTCACAACGTAGATTACGTTTCCCACAGTGTACTACCTTTGTCTAGATTAGATTGTTGCGTCCCTCGAAATATTTAAGGTTTTGGTTGGGTGGCATCGGATATATCTTTATCTCTCCAAAACGTCATAACGTGACAAGGAAAAATATATATAAAGCGGTAGCAAGCACGTGCAAAACACAACGCCTAGGATTCAATGCGACGACGAATGGGACCGAGTCGGGCTTGGGATGCTGCCGCCGTTCGAGAGCCACGACCCGTCTCGATTTGAAATGCACCGATCCTTCCACAACTCGGTCGTGGGTCATGCGATATGTGGAAAATGACGACTCACCCCATGTTCGAAACCGGACACGTGCCGTTGAGATATGACGATTGTGAATTGCCCACATCCGATTATCCAAACTGGACATCTTGACTTCCCATTCCAGGAGATTGGGAGGGGAGGCCGGAGCAGTTTGTCTCAACAGAGCGCTGGCGACAGATCCGTGTTTCGACAATCTCGCCCGGTCGACATCGTCGTGGTGTGTGGCGCACGCCGTGCAAGCAATCAGGTATACCAGGACGCGGCAGCATGGCGTCGTGCCCCACGGCCCAAATAGTAGCAGTTCGTAGCGGAACGACTCGTCTCCCTCGTAACATGAACTCACTTCCCTTCCGACTCGTTGCGATGGTTTTGCTCTTTACCCTCTTGCGATCGAGTTCAGATTGACATGCGATAGTGCCATGTGGTGCCGATTCGCCTGTATTTAGTGTGATATCCAGTCCATGATAGATTGGTATTTTTGGGATTGGCCCATTTTCGAATAAATCAACTGAAGAGTAACAAGACCTTGCCATGGCGAGTTTGTAGAATTTCCTCGGTCGCGGACTGGTCAACGTGACTCGACGAGGTATTCCTTTATATCCATGGGATCACGCGCCGAATATCTTGGAGTTTGTATGCACCGACGAACTCGAGCTGCAAAGACGACGATCCAAAGGGAGCCAGCCCAGTAACGTACCTGGTTCCATGCCGGCAGCAGCCGTCGTCAGCCCCGCTTCCGCGGCCAAGCGGCACCGCCTTGAGCCAGTCAAGTCCAAGAGCTGCGCCAAGGAGATCGTGGATCAGGTCGAGTGGTCTTCTTGTTCCTACATCCGTGACTTTATCCTTTGTAGGAAGTCGAACTACTCGGATGCGGGTTCTTCCACACGCGCATGGCCATGTAAGGTCTCGATCAACTCGAGCTCATGAGGAGACTTAAACTCTCTATTCGTGAAACGTAGGATCCTCGGCCTTGGTAACTCGGCCGATGCGGTGGAGATCCTGTCCATGGGGTACATCATTGGGTCGTTCGAGAGCCCGATCGAGCCATGGGAGTCGAGTCTTGTGACGTCGGCAGTGTTTCTCGGCATGTTCTTCGGTGGCATCGTTGGTACTATCATGGGAGACAAGTGCAGTCGTCGCTTGCTCATGATGGCGTGTCTCGCGGTCAACGGCGTGTCTGGTCTTTGTGCTGCGTTGAGCCCCACTGTGCTGTGGATGAGTTTCTTCCGCTTCATTGCAGGTGTCGGCATTGGCGGTATCGCCCCCATGTTGTTCGCCGTGTGTCTCGAACACGTGCCGGCCAGTGCGCGGGGCAAGTACATCACAGTCATCTCGGCGTTCTGGATGGTGGTAATTGCCCTGCTTTGCCTTGGCAGTCGCTGTGGGTCACTTCCTTTGCCACGTAGGGCTCGATCTTCACGGCTTTGCTGGCGTGGGTTATGTTGGGCTGCTACTGGGGTAAGGAAACTTTGATGCATGCAGCTCCCGATGGCGATGTTTGGGCCGACTGTGACGGTGAATGCGCCATGTTTTTCGCTGCAACTGCCCTGCTACCTTTGGTTGTTCGCACTTGCATGTGACTTTCAGTTTGACAAGGACAATGCCCACTTCATGGGCAGCCACGTCGGCGACGCTGCCGCCCCCGTTCATACGTAGCTTGCTTGGTCTCCACCGATTCGTGATGCCGATCACGTTGGGCTGATGGAATGTTTGCTGCATCACGTGTTTCACCTCACCCCCTGGAACCCACCTGATTTTGATGGAAAGGCACGACGATTCGCATCATGAATGTTTCGTGGCGGGCGTTCAGTGTCGCCGCCTCGATGCCCGCGTTCTTGACGTGCGGGCTCATTTACTTGTTCGTGCCGGAGAGCCCTCGGTTTCTCGTTGCCAAGGGCAAGTACCAGGAAGCGTCCGACACCCTCACGTTGATTTATGCGATCAACGGGCGATCGCGTCTTCCCGACTTCAGGTTCCTGGACGTCATGCATCCCGCCGCCATTGACGCGTCCGATCCGTATTAGCGGCCCGGATGGCCACGAGTGGGTGGACGAGCAATCGAGCACCCGCCTCCTCACGGCGCGCCACGACTCGATGCAATGGACCGACCGGCTCCTCCTCATGTTCGACTCGCAACCATCCGTCGTCAACTTGAAGCGGACTACGATCTTGCTGCTCACGTCGACATTTTGCCTGAGCTTTGGTACGGCCTTTCGATCGCTCGTTGTGCCAAGGGCGAATCATGGTTGGTAGGCTCGTATGGGATTTCGACGTGGGTGACGCGGGTTTTTCAGTCCATGAATGTGCACAACCCGTACGCGAACGACATCTTGTATGCGGTGGCGGCGCTGCCGGGCAACATCGTTGGGTAGGCGCATCTGTCTTGAATGCCAACGATGCAACGGCTGTGGCAGGCTGTACCTGGTCGACTCGTGGGGTCGCAAGCCCTTGTTCGCGTGGACGCTGTTCTTGTCTGCCCTGTGCGGCATCTTGTTTGCAGCGGATGGCGGCGACAGCTCGACCTTTATCGTGTTGATTTGCTGCATGTTCCAGTGCACGACGGCCATGGCATGGATTGGAGTACGTGTGCCAACCTCGTCCAGTTGCAAACTCATGCAGTCGTTTAGTACGATGTCCTCTCGGCCGAAGTGTATCCGCTGCACATCCGTGTGTCGGCGCTGTGTTTTCTGAGCTCGACAGGTCGGTTTGGTGCAACGCTGGCCCAAGTCGTGAACGGGTTCCTCATGGGCCCGCCGCCGCACATTGAAGCGCTTCTCCTCATCACGACGGTCGTCATGGCGATGGGTGGTGTGTCTGTGCTCTTCCTCGACGACAATGTCGACAACCAGGGCGGCATGAAGCAAAAAACGACCGACCATGGCGAGTCCATCCGACTGCTGGCATAAGCAGCGACTCCACGACGCTGTCGACGACGACGCGACTACTAGACATGATTCTACAAACACGATTCAGCTTGTCCAATTCACACTCGTTCGCGCATGCGTTTGGTGGATCGAGTTCTCCAAGAGCGTCCCCAGCGCCTCCTCTATGCTGCACGCATTGTCAAGCAGTGCGTGTAATGAGCTTGTATCGTAAGCCCACCGTGAAGCGAATGGAGGATGTTGCCTCGACGCACGTCAGACAGAAGAGCAACCGACATTCCATAGCCATGGGGCGTGACTCTGATGGCGCTGCAGCCACGAATCGGTGCTGCGTGGAGAAGGCATGTACGCGCTGGATACATTGGAGACGAGTTTATGCCGATGGAAGCGAGTGGTGGGGCGGCGGCGGCAGCATCGCGTGCCGTGTTCTGGTTTCGTTGTCACTGGATCGTGCAATAATCTTGTGTTCAGGTAAACACGAGAATTGGATTGGATAAAACGGCTTCATTTTAACCAATTGAATCGCTTGACGACTTCTGGGACGATATTTTTCCACGTCAAGCGCGAAGATGCCTGTGACGGCGACATATCCGTGGGTCGGTGAAGTCCGAGCGGCCGTGGATGCGAATCCGCATGCTGTGCGTCGCAAGCGCATGTGCGGATACGAGTTTCGACCAGGGGACATGGCGTGGAACTGCCGTCAGTGCCAGAAAGACGAAACGTGTGTGCTCTGCCACGCGTGCTTCTCGGCGTCACATTCGAACCTATCTCACCATGACGTGACGTTTTACTACACACAGCAAGGGACGGGATGCTGTGACTGCGGCGACGACGAAGCGTGGGATCCGGTCGGGTTTTGCGCAGAACACAACCCACCCACAGCGAATGCGGGTGACGTGGACATCTTAACGTCGGTGCCTCCGCACCTGCTTACCATCGCGCAGATCGATGTGTCCCGCGATGTACAGACCTTGCTAGGCTACGTGCTTGGCCGCCGCGCCGGATTCCAGCGGGTCATCAAAGCCGAGGTCCCTGGCGCTCTCGCTCAACATCCATCCTAACACACGCAGTGTAGGACTCAGGATTATTTGACCTGTGGCTCCATGTCACGGAAACTGCGTCCATTCGAACAGCCCCCGAGAAACTCACCCTTGTTCAGAGGAACATGTCGCCAGATAGCGTGTTTCACTGGCTGTCGACGCTCGACAGCGCGAACGTGTCAGTGTTCAATGCCGGGGATCCCGTCGTGTACGCCGACGTCGTGGGTATCCTTGGTCGGCTGACCCATTGTGCGCTGGCAAGCGATGTCCTGTGTCGACTCGTAGCGCATGAGGTACACGTGGCAGCTTCTTGGACGATGCTAACTCTCGGGACGACGACTAGATGACACATCCAAAGGACCTGCTGGGCCACGTGATCCGTACGGAAGCGCTGCTGCCACAACCCGAGAGCAATGCCCTGCACACGCTCATCATGGCGCTATTGCCAGACCCAGCATTCAAAGAAGCCTTCGCCATTGCGTTTGCCGAGTCCTACCGGTCTGTGTTTGCCAAGTATTTAAAAGGCCACGGTGCGCCTCTGCCGACGTGTCGGAGGACTTTATTGCCCAAACTCTGTAGGCACTCCTGGCCAAACGATCCTTGTGCTTGGCGTTCAGTTTTTGAACCGACAGTCGTTCGTGCACAAATTGATTGCCGACCATGAGTTGCTGGACGAGTTGCTGGGTGCGCTCGAGGCCATGTTGCTCAGCAACGCGAGCAACGTGATCCCCTGGTCCGATAAGGATATGTCTGACTGCGTGGACGAGTCGTCAACGCATCCATGGGATCAACTGGCGCTGCGCATGCTTCGTTGCAGTGGACCCGACTCGACGTCGTCAGCCACGACACAAGAATCGGGAGACTCGGTGGCGTCCCCTCGCAGCACAAACGAATCGTCCGTAGTCAAAGCGGACAGCAACGCGACGTCGCTGCTTCCGCTTCCCATTCTCCTTCACGTCGATGGCCCGCCGTTTACCACCCACCGGTATAGCCAAGTCCTCGTGGACCTCAAGTATGTGTTTCAGATTCCGCACGATCGGTTCCTCGCGCGGTTCGCCGCCTCGTTCCGCTGGCTGTGCCGACTCTTGGCCCGCATCCAAGGCATGGGAGCGACGTCCCGCATCCCGACAACGAAGGACCATGTGCTTGTGGACAGTCGGAGCTGGATTGGTGAGTGCTGCGTGCGCTAGGGGACTCGCTGAGACTGTGTCGGGTTGTAGTTTATATTGAAATGTCGACGCTCGTGCAAGAAATGCTGTCGGCGCTCATCTTGAACGTCGTCACGACGGAATCAACCCCGGGCCATGCGATCCGCGGTCTCGTAGGGCCGATTGTCGAAGCGCTGTGTCTGTGGCTGGCTGCCATCAAGGCATACTTCCCGCAGCACGTCGGTCGGGTTGGCGCGCCAGACGTCGTTGTCGGCGTTCATTATCCGCTGCACCACGCTCTCATCCTCGTCCTGCGTGGGGCAACGTGCTCTCCCGCCATGATGGACGCATTCAATGCCGCCGTCGATGCGACACTTCCCCACGGTCCATCGAATCCCCAAGGCGCATGGCTCCGGCAACAGATCGTGCTCCCGATGCTGCGAGCGCTCGTGTGGGATGCTCAAGTGCACGTGAACTTGTGGCGACGCAATGGGTTCGGTGTCATGAACCACAGCATGAACTACGGTGAACCGTACTACTGCATGAAATTTCGAGACTTGGACCTCCTGGGGCTCCAGCACGCCGTGGCCATTTGTGGCGCTGACGTCGTGGTGCGGCTTGTCTTGGATCAGTTCGACGTGGCGCCGCTTGAAGTTCGAGGTGCGCCACGAATTCCCCTCATGGCGACGCCCTGGTTGATATGCTGGCAATGTTAGATTTCGACGATGCCATGCTGGCGGAGTGCTTCAAATTGTTGTGCCAAGTCGCAACGGAGCTTCCCCTCGGCACCCCGTCGCTCCACGCGCGGCTCCGCCGGCTGCTCATCCAGCGACTCTGCAGCAAACCCAGCACCCACTCGGAACTGTTCAAGTGCGTGGCGGAATATTGCGCCGTCCACGAAATTCACGTCGCGCTCTCGTCGCTGTCGCTGGACGCAGCAGTCAAAGAGCTCACCAAGGACGTTGTGCAGCCTCGGCAAAAGGTGCGACGGCCACTCGTTCGTGTGGGCTGACCGCTGCACTTAGGTGTACACCCTCGATCCCACACACTTGGAACTCTACGACGCGACATCGATCCATTTGACTCGAAAGCAGCACGAAGCCGCGCGGTTGAATCGGCTCGACCACCGCACGAATGTTCTCAAAAAGTACGGCCCCCCCTCGACGTTTTACCCGGCGGCGCCGCCGCCCCTGCACATGACCGAAGGTGCGTCGTCGGTGGATGGGATGGACTCGATGGCATCTGGTTGTGGCATGTCCGAGTAGGCCTCCTCCCCCACTTTGAAGCCGCGTTTTACCTGATCCTCCGCCCCGAGATCTGTGCAAAGCTTGCGGCTGTGCTTCCCCGGCTAGACGACGTTGGGGCGAACCTGGCGACGATGGCCATCCATCTCTTGACGCTCCAGCTGTATGCGTTGCGGACGGCGCTGGTACAAGCCCCCGTTCCCCATCCATATTTGGCAAAGTTGTGTTTTTTTAGGACCATCCCACCTTCCACGAGCTCGGGAGGGTTTTCCTCGACTGGTTGCCGTCGGTCGTGCCGTCCTTGGTGTCGTTGAATCCATGGGCACGACCGAGTTCTGGTTCGTACAGCCACACGGACCACGAGCGGGGGCGACACATTCAGTGGATTCTCCACGAACTCTCAATCTACCCGCCGTTCCATGCCCTCGTGTACTCGCCCGCTCTCGCGTCGTTGTCCCCGACTGTTGTTTCGACAGACGCACCCCATCACGCAACGCCCCCGCCGCGCCATCGCGCGCAGCAGTTGGCGCTGCTTCGCATGGAAAAACAACGCGCCAAGTTCCTCGCGAGCCTCGACACTGCAGACGTTGGCGACGATGACGACGGCACGGCATGGGAGCCGTGTGCGATGTGCCACGAAACCGAGAGCGCAACCGAGACAGAGGCATCGTTGTGCTTTGTCGGGTATGTGCACCCGTCCGCGCTGAACGTGCCGGCGATCCACTCGGGAAAGAAAACGCCATGGGAAGACATGCGACGAGAAGTTCCGTTGACGATGCAGTGCTGCGGGCATTGCGTACACATGGGGTGCTGGGACAGCTACTTTGCGACGCAATTTCAAAAAGTCATTACCGGTACACACGTGCCTGTGCTGCCGCACGTGACGATGGAAAGCGTAGGAGAGGCGTACCTGAATGCGGTGGATGTGAAAAAAGGCGAGTTTTTGTGCCCGCAATGCAAGTCGATCTCGAACGTGTTGGTGCCAGCACGAGTCGACTCGGCCGTTGTCGGCCACGAGCTAGACCCGTTGAACCACGAAAGGCATCCATCAGGTGGCGACGCCTTTGACTGGGCATCGTGGTTGCGGCCCCCAGCACACGAAGAGCCAGCGGCGCGACCGCCACTGGATGCAGTACGTACCCATCGTCACCCCCATCGCAGACCCAACAGACTCAAGGAGGTTTTCGTAGGGACTGGCCAAGCTCTGCATGTCCATCCATCGAGTGGCGACGGGGGCGATCGAAAAAGCCCACCCGAAGCGATACATCGCCACTGCGTGCCATGCCGTGTTCACGTCTCGATGGACCGCTGCCATGACCAACATGCCGTTCGACAAGATTCAACCGCTCGTCGCGGCCGCCAAACACCTTCGCCATCCAGACCTGACACGAGAGCACCGACAATTGCTCGCCCTCGGACAAGTTCCTGACTCGGCTGGCGACGCTTTGGTCGATACCCACACGCTGACGCACGTGCAAAAGACGTGGCATTCGGTCGTGGGTGCCAAGCCGCTCTTGCTCCACGACCTCGGCTCGGTGCGCTTTTCAAGACGAATGAAGCGGCGGCTAACGTGCTGTTTAGATTGTAGCGAGAGGGGTGCTGTTGAGCGACAATGCGCTCGACGCCGCGCGGTCCGTGCAACTCGTCGCCCTTGCATTTGTTGTGCAGACCACGTTGTGGTTGCTCTCGAACGCGAGCAACCGCGTTCACATGTCGTCGACCCAAACAAGCGATCCAAGTGGCGATAGCCCCACCGACTGGTTCTTGCGAGAGTGGTGCGGCGGCGAGTCGAAAGACATGGGCGTGGCTGTGCTCCGCCACCTGACAGGGCAGGTTGCGACGTTTGCACCATGGCCAGACGATGGGACCGACTGCTACACCGTGCTGGACGGGGTGGCGATCGAATTGCGCCCATTTTGCAACGAAGCGCGGGCCATGCTCGGCCCAGCGACTACTACCACGTCGTGGCTGTGCCTGCCACGGTTGCCGCAGGTTCTCGTGCACCTCGTGCACACCTGGGTGCAGATCTGTTGCACGACGTACGTATAAAGTCGTTTGACTCATGCGAAAATGTTCTTCTGCACCCTCATGGGCCGACTGCAGGTACGACGCGATGCAAGATCCGTTGGGTGTGCTGGCGCAATGGCGGCTCAAGAACAATTGCGTCGACACTTGGACGACGGTCCTGCGCCAAGATTTGAATGCCGCCCACGTGCCCTTGAGTGCGCTGTGGTACCACCACCATCGCACACACTTTCTGCGGCATCTCCCGTCGGCCTACAACTCGTTGTACCTGGATCTGACCAAGCAAGTGTGCCCCACATGCAACCTCTTTCCCGCTCGCCCCGCGCTCTGTTTAGTGTGCGGCAAACTCATGTGTGCCGCGTCGTCGTGTAAATCGATCTCGCCCATGTCTGTCTCCGGCGCATGTATGTCTTGTGTGTGTGTGTGGCATTGTCGAACCCGTGGCATCGATCCATCCATGAACGAACGTGTCGTAGGCACGCTGCACGCGCACAAGTGCGGTCGCGGCGTTGGAATGTTTATGCTCGTGCTGGAAGGAAAAGTGCTTCTTGTGAGTGGCAAGTTGGCGGCGTTTTACGGCTCCAGGTACGACGTCGGTCGGATATGTTGTTTATCCGTGCCTTGTTTATTGTGCATGGTAGTCTATACGTGGACGAGTACGGCGAAGGCTTTGGCGAGTCGCACTCGATGGTGACGTTTCGCGGACGGCCGCTGTTTCTCGAGACGAATACCCGGGACGCCCTGCTCGAGCTGTGGGCCCAGCAGCGCGTTCCTCTGGCCATAGTCCATGCCCAAAACATTGCGACCCATCTCGTTCCCAACAGTCACTATTGAAAACATGTACTACCTAGTCCAGGAATCGTCCCATGTCAACCTTTGCGCCGCTTCGTCGTGTGTATGTGCTGAAATGGCGAACCCACTCTGGCACTTGCCATGCTTCATGCCGATCTCGCAATCGAATTCCCATCATCGTTTAGGCAACTTTGCGCGTGAGCCCATTTTGGAGGGTCGGGTGTGCAGTCCTTTGTGGATGGCTGCCCGCGCGGAGGCATGCCGTGGCTTCGTATGGCCCTCTTCAGTCCTTATGCATGCGATCGTGGATTGTTTCTCTCGCGAGATGCGGCCACGACGTCGGCGAGGGTTCGCTGCGCAAGCTGCCGAATGCCTACCTCGGCAAACTCGAGGCTGACCGTGTGGGCTGGGTGCACCAGGGTCAGGTACAACGCGGCTCGTTCACGACTGCCAGTACGTCGCAGCGCCGTCGACGATTGCCCAGCCATGAGCTGGGTAATTTCATGCATCGGAAGCTCTACCGCTGGTCATGACGGCGCAAACGCATAGCGTCATCGGTTACCTCGGACTCCACCAGTCTTGAAGCGACTTTTCCCGATGAAGATGGAGCGATCACCGAGCCAGAGCGTTCGTTCCTGGGGCAACCCGCGACGGGAATTGTGCTTTAGAACCGAAATTCCTTGCGCCATCCACAGAAAACTTGGCTGGCGGTGCCCGTCGTCCATGAGAGAGGGCCCGTCCATTGACTACAACCACATCGTGACCACGTTCAACGGGTCGTTGGCATGACGTACGCCTGCCAAGTCTGGTTGATTCCACGCCCACTCGACATGCCGGAGAAAACGTTGCCACAAATCCCAATGCAGGCTTCCCACGGGGCGACCAGCTTCGTTCGTGATGCACGTGGCATTGCCCTGTGCGTCGACGTCATGCTGCTCGCGCATGGTGGTGTTTCGTTTTGTCTCTGTACCTTTGTGACCATCAAGAGCTTGGACGGCGCAGCGAAGAACGTCCCGAACTCTTCGACGCACACGCTCACGTGTGCCAGGGCCAAATGGGTCGTGATCGTGGCCGGAGTCTGCGGTACATGCACTGCAGGGGGGGCTACCCAAAGCCCAAACGGTCCGTAGATGGGTGCCACGACCATCGCGAGCACGTCGAGCGCGACTTGTTTCCACTGCAGCACGGTTGTGTACAGAATTAACATCGTTGGAACACGGGTGGTGAGATGGAGGGAGCCGAGTGTCCAGGTGGACTCGGCATGCTGCTTGGTGGCCGCGGCTAGCGCGACGTGGAGCGCCGGACGGGTAGTCGAGCGCAGCCAGGGGATGTCAGGGGTCGAGCTACGGCACTGGATTTCGTCGACCCGGACTTGCAACGCATCGGCTTTCGCGTTGTTGCATCGTCGACATGTGACATGGTGGAGGTGCATGCTGAAGGAAGTTTGCGCGGTCTGGCCAAGTTGGATCTGGCCAAAAAGAACAAGCGACGTGAATCGGACGGTCGTCGCAAATCCCGAACCTCGATGTGGATGGCTGGGACAGAGACAGCGACTGTATCCAATGCAGGCGGCGGCGCGTCTGGCACGCCATGGGCATGTCCAGGCATGGGCGGTGTGTACCTAGACACAGTGGAGCACTCCTGGCAGACGAGGCCATGCTGTTATACCACGACATCCACGTGTGTTGTACGTCTTGATGCAATTGCTCGACATGCGTCCGGACTGCCGCTTGAACAGCGTCGCCGTCGACAAGGCCGTCGTCGTGGGGGAGGAATGTTGTGAGGACGTGCACGTGTCCGCTGTCCTGTGGCAGTGCCACGTCATGTCTGGAGGGTTCGCTGGTCGACGTGCACGGTGGGATGGCCAGCGACGCCGTGGCACTTGCTTGGTGCAAGTACGGAACGATCCATTTGTCGTAAAGCACACTGCGCGACAAAACGACATGAACGGCGCCGGACAATTAAATCCGCTTACATGTGCACGACGTCTTCATCCGGTGTGCCATTCAGGTGAAACTCAAACGACTGACCAAACACGCACGCGATGGTGGTGTTGGCTGCGATGCAGCTGCAGCACGATGGGGATGTCGTGTGGCGGTGGCAAGGAACGGGAGGTCCATTGTACGGTCGGCCACGGGTGCCCACCTCGAGTTTGTTCAGGGGATGGACGTGTTCGCACATCGTTCGACGTACTTTGATGTGGAGAAAGGCCATCCCTGTGTCGAAAAACGAGCTGTGAACGCCACCGTCGCGCCAGTGGCATTCCACCACCGTCACCACGAGCGCGCCTCGCGCTTTGTTGTGCGTGTGTTGGGCTACATTACGAACGTGCTCTTGTTTCCTAGACATGTTGACATGTGCGATGACCGAGGCCGGTTCGTTGTGCCAAGGATGGGCAAACGGATTGTCGATCGCAAGGGCAGTGAATCGCGCACCTTACCGCAATTGCTCGTTTGCAAGCAGGCGAAGTTTGGCGGCGACGATCGGTCGAAAGCACGCATCCAGGTACAATTGCCTCGACCACAGGCGCTGCAGTGTGGTGACGGCATTGGCGGTGTGGAGCTCACTCGACAGGTCGCGTGGAGCCGACTGGACGGTGCTCTGCATTCCCCTCACGCCATAAAGGCCACCAAACACTGCATTCCCAAAGCACGTCACGGCACTAGGTAGGTTGTCTACGCAGCGCCAGTTGTACAATTTCTTCATGAAGCATAGCTGTCCGTACGGAGCGCAGCAGTCATCACCAGCGGCACCGCAGGGACGTCGACGCCGTCGACGCGAACGCGCTCAACATGGTTGAAAACGTAGCCATTCCTATACGCGACGAACGAGTGAGACTCTGGCCCAAAGAAAATGGCAGTGGCACAACCACCGTACTTGGATGCAAATGGCGTTCGCTCGATATACGGCTGAAGGGCGCGACGAACTGCCGTGTATTGGAGCCCCACGAGAACGAGGTTGATCGTTCGCGGCCACGACGGCCGTTGAAACACCGGATCATTCTGTTGAAGCAACGTGGCAAAGATCGCATAGCGCCACCACGCGCGGGCCGTGATCGGTCGGTGGACGGGTCGAAAGCGGCGGTACAAGCTCGCGCGTATGGCTGTGTCCAGGGTGTGCAGTAGTGCGCAGAGCGCTTGCAAATGCGTCAGCGACAAATTGACGCGGACCGGTGGTGGCGGCACGGACACCGTGGCTTGGACCTACCAGTTAGGTCAAGAGTGTTCTGCCTCGACCTCGCCCATGGCGACGATTCGACCTGCATGGAGCTCTCGTGAATCGCGAGATCGATCTCCACTCTCGCAACACACACAATGCACTATTTCACCAGCGGAATTAGCCTCTGGCAGTGGGTTTGCAGGCATGCCACCAACATGTGTGGTCACGTCTGCAGCGTCAACTGCAGTGGTTTGGTCGTGGCTTGGGCTATCCTTTGCGTGTCGCCTGGATTCTTCAACATATAACGACGCATTTGCGACTTGAATCGACTTGGAAAGCGCAGTTGGATGTTCTGGCAGCCTGACAAGCGTGCATTCAGCGACATGTAGCTCTCGTCACGACCGCACTGCGTCGCCATGAATTACGTGGACATGCTCTTACGGTGCATCGGAGGGAGTTGGGTTGGGCTTGTTGGCCGGCTGGACTAGAATCGCGTCGAAGCGGACGCCAGCGCTAGTCGCCCCAGCTTCAACCCGGACATGCACCCTCTCGAGGCTCACGAATGCACAAAGAAAGAGTTGAAGCCAGCGACTGGCGCCGCCATGGCTCGTTGGTGGGCTGTTTACTGGAAGTCGACTGTTTCGAGAAGCGTCCATGTCGTCGCGATCGGCAAGCAAGCGCATCAGCCAATCGATTTTCGCCTGATGGGCGGCGTCCATGTCGGCCAGGACGTCTGTTGTTGTAATTGGCGTAGTTAGCGAAGATGGTGTCCCCAAAAGGATTGTCACGTCTTCCGCCTGCATCTACGGAGCACTTTCAGTCGAATGTAACGAACGAGACAAGGCTCGCCAACATGCAAGGGTTGGTTTGAGAAATGGGCGGCGACAAAGTTGCTTCGCAGGTGGCCAACGTGAATTCTTTTCGGCTCGAGCGGCAACTGCAGGGACTTGAATGTATCTACCAGATAAACATGACCACAACACTTCAAACCAGTTCGATCCCAACGTACCAAGCTCGAGTTCGATGTCAGTGAGCGTGATTTCGCCCGAGAGTTCGATGCGCAGGTTCTACATCCTCATTCTATTGATGCCGCCATTCACTCAAACACCGCACCTGCTTTCGAAAGCCCTTGACAAAGCGGGAGCAGAACTGCTGCACGAGCGCCGCGACCAGCCCTTCCAGCACCATCTTGGCGACTCTACGATCTTGGCTCAAATACGCATCAATATCGAACGTTGCGCACCCCATGGATTGGAATATTCGTTTGATATACTAATTTGTATAGGATTTTGAAACATAATACGCATGGATTTCTTTCGGTGATGGGCATATCGGATTGGCTAAAATGAAAGGGTTGCATTGTTTTGATTGGGGAATTACCGGCCCCACAGAATTGCATCAAACCTCTTTGAGCATGGTCCAGTACGTTGCGTCCGTGGCCGACGTGGCGGTGACCGCTGCGAGTCTGCCCAAGGTGCTCGTGATCGGTACGAAGGAGACGACTGGCTTGAGGCTAGCGGAAAGCATTCTCACCCACTTGAACTGTGGTGCGTCTCCTCCGCCAGCGTCCATCGCGCTCCTCACGCACGCGGTGTCAAAACTCGCCCCCGGAGCCGACAGTTCGGCCTCGACGCACTTGTACGTCCCGCTTACCGATTCAGTCCTCGTGAGTGTCGTTGTGGCACAGCTCCCCACCGCTGTCTCGCGCCACAATGTGCTTGCTCGTCCACACGCAATCAGCTCGCTCGTTCGCTCGTATGCGAACGACACATCGACGTCATTTGTCGTTGGGCTGGCGCTCCCGGAACTGTCTTCGACGGCCTGGACCGGTGGTGTCGGTGTGGCCAAGGGTGTGACCACGTACTACGACAGCAAGAGTGGCGGAAAGTCTGGTCAGAGTGGCGTGATCATGGACGGAGCGTCGACTTGCGTCAACCCTGATCGCATCGTGGTTGTGTTTGACCACGCTGTGGACCCCGCGACGTTGTCCCTCCTGAACGCGACTGCGACGGGCATTCACTTGACCCAACGTCTTGTGGATACGCCTCCAAACCAGCTCAACACGGACACGTTCGTCGCGGAAGCGCGCGCCGTGGCGTCCCGAGTACACGCCGAAATCACGGTGATCCAAGGCGACGAATTGAAGACGAGGGGCTTTGGCGGTATCTACGGCGTTGGGAAAGCGGCCGCGCACCCGCCTGCGCTCGTCGTGCTCAGTCATTATCCCTCTGACGAAGCCAAGGACAAGAAGAGCGTCACGTTGGTCGGCAAAGGCATCGTGTACGACACGGGCGGATTGAGTTTGAAGACACCGACCATTATGGTCGGTATGAAGTACGACATGGGCGGTGCTGCCGGCCTGCTCGGCGCATTCGAAGCGGCCGTGACTTCCCGTCAATTCAATTCGCGTCCGTTGCACGTCATCCTCTGCCTCGCGGAAAACGCCATCGGGCCGCTGGCCACGCGCCCGGACGACATCCACACGCTATACTCTGGCAAGACGGTCGAGGTGAACAACACAGATGCGGAAGGCCGCCTTGTGTTGGGCGACGGCGTCGCATACGCGACCAAGCACTTGAACCCGTATGTAATTCTCGACATGGCGACGTTGACGGGCGCCCAGGGCATCGCGACCGGTGCAAAGCACGGTGCCGTCGTGTCCAACAGCGCCACGTTGGAGGACTGGATCGTCCAGGCGGGGCGCGCGTCCGGCGACTTTGTCCACCCCATGCCGTACGTGCCCGAGTTTTTCCGCCAAGAGTTCAAGAGCCAAGTCGCCGACATGAAAAACATTCCCGCGACCCGCATGAATGCCCAAGTGAGCTGCGCCGGCCAGTTCGTGGCGAACCACTTGACCGACAACTTTGAGGAAACGGGACTGTGGGGCCACGTCGACATGGCGTACCCTGTCGTGGACCAAGAGCGCGGCACCGGCTTTGGGGTTGCCCTCGTCCAGTCGATGCTGCAGCTGATTGAATAACCTGCCGCTCACGACGTCAACCTAGTCGACTGCACCAGCCATACCATTCGCTCTCGAATAGTACTAGTTGTACGAGTTTATCTCGAGGTGGCTTAACGAGTCAGTCGTCCAGCATTGCTTCACCCCCGTCCGTTGCGCCATTGCCACGACTTCTGCCAACATGGTGGAGCGCAGCTCGCTCTTGTCATCGTTGAGGTAGGCACGGCGCGCCAACCTCGCTTGCGTGCCCAACGCGATTCGAACGAGATACACGTGTGTGCTCGCGACTTCGTTCCACGACAACCCCGTGGCGTATTTGCGAGCTGCTGCGGGTGGCGCTTTAAACACGCGGGTTTGACGGCCCATGCTGAATCATCCAGACGCATGATGGCCAACTCCCGTGCATGTTCTGTGAGGCGCTGGTCGCGCGCGAGATCCATCCTTGGTCGCGGAGGCTTTGGCAACGTTGTGGCTGCTTCGACGACGACATGCGGTGTTGTAGGGAAAAAAACCTCCAGCTGCCACACGTCTGTCGTCGTGCTCTCTACGCATCACAAATCGTGTCGACCTCGGTATCGCTTGAACCCCACCCTGCATTGTCGGTGCCTGCCGCAGGCCACAACGACCCCTGGACCAATGCATTCAAATCACATCTGCACACACCACAGTGCGAACCCACTGCCGATGTGCGGCCAACTCGACGCGTTGGACGCACCTTGGTTGCGCAAAAAGGAAACCTCGCTGTGGGGCGACTGCCTTGACCGCCATCGTCCATTCGAGACACTGCACCAGATTCCCCAGCACAGGTACATCATGCCTCATGTCTTCCGATCTGTCGGCTGTGGCGCACCTCCCCCAACATCTCCCCTTGAACGAGTTGCCGCCAGTGTGTCGGTGGTTGCCGGCTGCTCGCTCATGATACAGTGTGAGCAAGGACCAGGATGCCCCCGCGGATGCCACGGGGTGGTGTCGCCTCGGAAAGTTGAACCGCGCCTGGCTACAGTGCACTTGTGGGTTCCAAAATCGGGAAAAGCCCCGTCCAGATTGGACCAGAAAGCAGCCGCGACGTTGTGCGCATAGAGACGACTCCACGTCCCACGCGACCAACTCAACAGACGGAGCTCGCCCTGCCCTCGAATGTTGAACCACATGGATACATTGCCGACTGTCGTGTCGCCGAGGAGCGCCACGTTGTCTAGCCTTGGCACCAATTGTCCGCTCTGCCCTCCGCCCTTGGAGTGGCTTCGCGTTCGCCGTGCCAGGTCGACATGGCTTCATGTCTGCTCGATGCGGGGACGACGCTCTGGGGAATTCTTGAACCACCACAGCCACACGTTGCGGTGGCTCTGCCGAATCCCGTTCAAAATAGTTGCTACCGACGACGCAAATGTCCGACAACTCTTGCGCAGATCTACGTCCTCCATGAAACCTGTCCAATTTGATAATAGTGGACACGCTATGCTCCAGATGGTTGACCGAACGATAAGGGTTTTCCGGACCGCCCCTGGATCAAGTACCTTTGGCCAAAACCAGGGCGAGGGGAGCTTGGCAGTGGTATCGTACCGTCAGCGCCGTGCAAAAGTGCCGCAATGGCACTGGTATTCGTGCGAACGTCCAAGCATTCGTGGATCGCTCGTTTTTCCCGATACCTGTAGAACATGATTCACTGTGTAATGTGATCTATTGGCGCGTTTCAATTGGAATATATTGGGACCTGCCGTTGGGTTTTTGTGATCGATTTTTGTGGAGCCAAATTGCCCGACGCTGCTCTCCCCATGTAAAAACGAGCTCGATGCGTTTGAAACGCGGCGTCCGTCGGCTTTCTCGCGAACCGTTGTGGGTGACGTACGACACACGCGTGCGTTGGGGGGAGGATGGTGGAAGGCCATGGCAAATACTTCAGCGACGAGGTGAGCGCGTGTCCCTTCGTTACGGGGGCGGCACAACGAGGCCATTGCACCGGCGAGGTATCGTCGATTGGACCGGGTTGTGCGGACGATGTGCTGTGTGGACACTATAGAGGTCGTTGCCACATGGATCCCAACGCTGCATTTTTGTGGTTTCTTTTTAGTGGATGCCGCGCCATGCTGCGCAATGGCCTCCTCGTTCGAGTGAACTCCGCGTGACGTCACAAGCATCTCGACTTGGACGGCTCGGGACACCACTCGAGACGACCGCTCCTAGGACACCCATCCCGCCGCCCCCGTGGTGTGCGAACTCGAATAAAAAAAAAGCTCTCTCGACATCTGATCTGGACAAATGGCAATTTGCCCCATGAAATTTGGGGTTTCCATGCCATCCGATTGGACGAATGTATGGTTGGCATATCGACCCCACGAGAAACAAGCTGCGGACGCCGCGGAGCCGGCGACGCCCCCCGCGAGGGATCCCGACGCCACACCCAAGCGAGTTGCAGAGTACGTTAGACGTGGCAGCAGACGCCTACGAAGAAGCAACGAGTGCTTGTCGACGCCCTCGGATGATGTCGAGGGAGAGGAGCAAGGGATCAGGACAAACGCCGTGAAGCGCCCCTCTCCCTCAAATACACGTGGCGCGTCATGTGTGGGAGACGTGCGGTGTTCGTCCTTGCTATCGGCGCGTGTCTGGACGACTGCACGTCCTCGCGAAAAGCGCAAAATGTCGCCGCTGTTCCGGGACGCGTCGAGCTCGCGTTGAAAAAGGCTCGCAGGTGCTCCAACCCGTGGCAGGTCGTGCATCGGGCATACCGTCGCGGCCATCCCGTGCATTCGGACGACTGGCCCGCCAAGGCAACAAAATCCCACTCAAGGTCCAACTTGCTGCTTCATATGGAAGAGCAAAGTTGAAGTTCAAGGCCGGGAGATCTGGTTCTGGCCAACCCCTCGCTGCTCCTCCCCCTGCCGTGCTCACTTCTGGATTTGCCATGGCGTCGACGAACACCAACCACCTCCTGCAAGAGCGCGTGTCGTATATCGCGTCGATCACCCCCGCCGACACCAAGGACGCGGACGGGTTCAAGGATGGCACGACGCCCCTCGACATTGAAGGCGGAGCCCTCCGCGAAGGCGGCGCGCTCGACTACACGTCTGCTGAAGTGATGACGCTGATCTTTCAATACGCTGTCGTCGGTGTGTGTTACGGCGGTCTCTCGAGCATGAAGTACCCCGTGCTTACCATGTTCTTTCGGCTCGAAGCTGCGACGCTCAGCTCGGCCACAGGTCTCATGAGCTTGGGTTGGTCGTTCAAGGTTTTCTACGGCATGCTTTCCGACTGCTTCCCCATCATGGGCTACAGCCGCAAACCGTACATTCTGCTCGGGTGGATTTTGACGGCGCTGTGCTTGGTCATCATTGCCGTGAAGCCGACGGGCGACGCCGTCAACGATGACAGTTCGGCCGAAGACAACAAGACCGCGCAATCCAACGGGTCGCTCCTTGCGTTGCTCTGCGCTGTCGCATGCTTTTGCTACATCATGGCCGACGTCGCATGCGACGCCATGGTCGTGGAATACGCCCAACGTGAACCCGACAACGTCCGCGGCCGCCTGCAAGCCACGATCTACGGCACCCGTTTCTGCTTTCAAGGGTTGGCCACGGCTGTGTCTGGGTTCGGCATGAGTTCGGCGCGTTACGGTGGCGAGTTTTCGTTCGACATGAGCGTCAACGCGTTCTTTTGGATCCTTGCTGTCCCGGTCTTGGTCAACATTCCGTTGGTGTTTTTCTTCCTCAAGGACCGCAAGCGCGGCGCGATTCACTTTGGCGTGTACTTCAGCGAAGTGTACGGATTGATCCAGAAGCGCGCGGTGTGGCAAGTCATGTGCTTTAGCTTTTCGTTCAACCTGTTTTCGTCGGGCATTACGTCGTGGGCTGGCAGCTACATCCCGGTCTACTGGGCCAAGGTCGAGCCCATCAACAGCTCGATTGCCGGGATCCTGTCGTACATGCTCATGGCGTTGACGCTGTTTGTCGTGGGCAAGTGGGGCACCAACTGGAGCTGGCGCTTCATCTTGGTCAGCACGACCTTGACCGCGAGCGCCATTGACGCCGTTGCTCAGTTCCTCACCATCTACGACGTCGTGCGCAACCAGTGGTTCTACTTGGGTGTGCCGCTCACCGAATACGTGCCGCTCGGCATCCAGTTTGTCATTTCGACGTTTGTGATTGTCGAATTGGCCGGCGACGGCAACGAAGGCCTCATGTACGGGCTCCTGACCACCGTCGGCAACTTGCCGTCCGTGTTTGGCTCCATGATCACCAACGTGTACTGCACGCAGCTCAAGGTGTCCAAGGCCGACATCAAGACTGACACGGACGAGGTCCGCAACCAAGCCGCGTACTCGTACTTGATTGTGTACGCCACGACCATCGTCGCATGCATGTGCACGCTTATCTTGCCGCCCCAGAAAGCTGCCGTCAAGGAGCTGTTGACCAACGGGGGCAAGTACCCTATCGTCGGGACCTTTGTCATCATCGCGGTGTTTGGTGTGCTGTGTGTGTCGGTCACCGCCACCTTGATGTCCATGTTCGAGTCGACGCAGTGCTACATCTTGGCCGGTGGCTCTGGCTGCGATTAAGTTGCGTATCTGCTTTGCGTTCATGCTGTAGCACTGTAATACATCTTTCGTGTTTTGTTTGAATCGCTTTGCCCCCTGGTCGACGGAAGCGAACCCCCATACCGAAGGCAAGTGCCAATTTGACGTGGGCTGGCGGACGTGTACGAGTGAGTAGTTGGCTGCAAGTAGACTATTGTCATCGACCACGTATGTCAGGATGGCGAATGGCCAGCCGCCATTGCACCCCACGTTGCCACTCTCGACGGAGCAACTCGTCACTTGCTGCTCGGATAGGTCCAGCAGCTCTTGTCACGATGCGTGCGCCGGCTCCGCGGCACCCACGGCCGAGAACGCCCAGCATGACACGCACTGCATTTGGTCGCGCACGGGGTTGATGCACTTGGCAGTGGTCCAGTTCATCGACACCACCTTGACGTTGCTCGCGTTCAAGGCGGCCATGAGGACCGCGCGGAACGCGCTTCGACGAAGGCACCCTCCAAGGTCGTCTCGAATACAGCTTGCGTCAACAGAGCAAAGGGGTGGTTGTGTAGTCGAACGTGGTTTCGCGGTTGATGTGACCCTGGTCTCTTCGATCGCGAGCTTGTCGTACCTCTGGAACGTATCGTTTTCTACCTCGAACGGGCTCGAGCTTTCGATGGCGCGGGGTAACCGACCCCACACGGCAACGGCAGATCCAAACGCTTTGACCCCACTTGCTCCACTCGGCGGGCAGCACGGAGTGCTTGGTGGCGGACGCCAACTGGTACACCATGACGAGGAGGTCGACCGCAAATCCCTCGCAATTGTCGCAGACCAGTGACACTTCCGAATGCTGCGACATCGAGAATCTTGACAAGGTTCGGCGTCGTGGGCAGCATGTCTGTGTCAACAAGGGAGCGCCGACGGAGCCTCCTCGAGATCGACACACGCAATCGACGACCATGCGGTCGGC